TAAAGATACCCTGTGCTGCTGGCTCTGCTTCCACCGCGGGACAGCTTGGCTTGGGTTTGCTCCTTTAGGGCTCTTGGGCATCCTTGAAAATCAGTCCTAACCACTGTGCCCTGAGCAGGGGACCCGTTTGGTTAGTGGGAGCTGGGTCCCAAGGGCATCACTGGGTGCTTCAAAGCAAAGCCCAGCACCCAGGGCTGAGTTTGGAAGAGGAGGACCAAGGGACATCAGGCAGAGCTGCTCAAATGCAGGGCTGCTGCCATACAAAAAGCCACCCAGGAAGAGTCATTAGGGCTTGAACTAATTATAGTGTGTCTGGGTGGTGGCTGGAGGTTATGAAATAGGAAGTGTTTTCTAGCTGCATGGCTGCTTCGCTGGGTAAAGGGGATGTTGGTGCCATGCAGAGGGGATGCACCTGCAGTGCCTGTAAGGTCAGGAGAGCACAGGCTGAGCACCGGGGAGCCACTGCCACCATGGGCACCCAACTCAGTCAATTAGCGTGGCTCCAGACGAGCTCTGGCGATTCACTTGCTGATGGTTTGGGGGTTGCTGCCCCTTCTTATGGAGGTTTCTGTCCCATGTAGCCAGGGCTTGGCCAGGACCATTGTGGGGAGATGCTCAGTCTGTCCACACGTGAGACGGGCATGGTAGCACTGATGACCCCAATGGCTGTGACTTCCTTAAGTTTGGGTATGCTTTATTCAGACTCAGTTTTGTTATCACCTCCAGCACAGATTCTCTCTACCTTCCTCCTCAGTTAATCCATTAGATCTATCTCCTTAACACTGATAAAGCTCTACTTCTCAGAAGGCTGATGTTACCTACAAAACCTATTGCTCAAGTTGTCATTATTCCTTACTTTTTGAAGGAGAGTTCTATTTTCCCCCCTCTGTGCTAGTGGAGGTTTCTCCTGCAACCTTTGCTGTTGTTGTTGTGCACTGAGCAGAACATTGACTCATCGGCAGCCTCTGTGATAACTATAATTAGGAGAAAATGCATTTACAAAGCTCTTTCCTGTGATGCAAGCACATCATTGTCCTTGCAGAGGAATAATTCTTGCCGTGCTTTCAGGTGGGTGTGGGCAGCCAGTGATTACACTTGACACTCATATTGTTGGAGTGGATTTTCCTGGCTGGATATGCTACCTGCGGAGCAAGTGGTAGTCAGAAGCCGTCTTTATGGTCTCCACTTGTTTTGAGCATAAGTCTTTACCGATGTATTTAAACATATAGGAAAAGAATATGAATGTATAGAGTGGAGTAATCAAAGCACTGGGACTGTGTCATATACCCAGGGCCTTATTTAGTGCTTTTGAAAAAACATAAAATTCAAGAGAAGAAATTCACTGGAGTTTTGTCCAAACATCAGCTGGGGAGGAGGGTTGTTGGGAGAGCATCCCTGCTTGGGAATCCTTTCCCACTGCTGTATCTGAGCTGTGTTTTGAATGGTGTTTGTCCCTGTACACCCCTGAATACCCCGACACAGGGGCCAGGGGCTTGGGTGACTCTGCCCACCTCATTGGGGTGATAAAAAGCTTGGGAGCTCACAGCATCCCCTCCTGCCCCTCTGCCCTGAAGCCAGAGCTGCTCTGCAGCCTTCTCTTTGCTTTTGAGGTTCAACCCATTAGCACTAAACTGTGCCTGCACTTTCCTAGTTGCCAACAAGGAACAGACCATGGCAATAGTATAAAGAGAAGCAGGGTAAAGACTAGTTGAGCTGCACAAGTCTTTTTCTTTCCATCTCACATCTTGCCCCGCCATACAGCGTTTAGGACCAAGGAAGAACTGTCTTCCTAACATCCCATTAAATGCTGCTGTGCTCATCAGAGTAACTGCTGGGAGAAGAAGCAGAGAAAACTCATAAAGCTCTCCCGTTGCTCCAGGGAGAAAAGCACAATGTAGAAAACTATCTTGGCAGCTAAACAATAGGAAATACCTACGCACACCTCAGGCTGCTGCGTTTTACTTTGTCACCTCGATAGTTGCAGGTTCAATAGCTCAAAATAATCAGTGCCATACCACTGGAGATAACAGGAGAGATTATGGACCTGGACTGGCAACAGCCCGTTTTGGTGGGTGCAGAAGGTTGGTTGGGAGCATCCCATCGTGGATTGGCTCAAGACACCCCTCTGAGGGCTCTCCAGAACATTTTCCATTGCCAGTTACCCCCCATCAGCCCTCTGCCTCTGATGGGGAATTTATACCCAGAACCTGCCCGTGTTGTCCTGTTGGGGTTGGTCTGACCCTGCCACGTGGCATCCAGGAGCCTTTGGTTTCATTGGGCTTTCCCATGGGAAGGTGAAGTTGGTGGATCCGCTGAACCCAGGGCTGATTAAAAACCAAATCATACCAAATTCAGGTGCATTTGCTGCATCTCTTCCTCTTGCTGTGAGACCAGGAGGGACTCTGAGAGCGTTTATCAGTTCAAATGGCTGAGGCAGGTCAACCCTTGGTTATTTATTCCTCCAGCAAAGATAGGTGAGGTTTTCTACTTCCTGTATTATCTTGTTTGTGCCCACAGTAACAACGGTTCTAACCTTCAGAGAACCAACTGAAACACTTCCAGTGCCTCCTGCCAGAGGTTGGCACTGAGCTGCTTATCTGCCTTGTCAGGAAACAGCACTAAATTCACCTCCACCCGGTCCAACTGCCTGGCATGTTCTACTTCTCGTTGTTCCTTTGCCTCCCCCTGTGACGGGCCATTTGACACGTTTATAAATGGGTTTATGCTGTGTGGGATTAACCTACATTTATCATCATTCCGGGACAGAGGAATAAATGCTCAGTTTGATACAAGAAGTGACCCAGGTTGTTTCCCGCGCGGGAGGTCAGTATGTTTAGTAGGGTGGAAAGCACAGAGGATAATGCCCCGGTACAGCGAATTCCCCAGGCATCTCTGGAGCAGAGAGAGTCTGTTTGCTCAGTGCTTTGTGCTCTGGCCTCTGGGCATAAAAATAACCAAATACAAATAGTGGGTGTTCATACTAAGCTTTTAACTCTGTAATTCATGGGCAAAGGGGGATCCAGACTGATGCTAATGGGGCTGAGGGGAGGCAGAGGAGTGCAGACACCGCGGCTTGAAGTTCACAGCAAAATGTGGGTCTCTGCTCCAGAAGCACATCACTGATTTGGAGCAGGAGAAAATTGTCTTCCCACTTATTTCTACCCTGTATCTTCTGCAGAGGGAGGGCACTTTTCTTGTGGCTAAGTACTTACGCACCAAAAAACGTATTCTCTTATCATGTTATTGCTCATATTATCTTAAGCTTCTTATCAGGCCAGCCTGGATTATCTTGCTCCTCTCGCTGGGCTATTTATCCCCACCATATCTTGTCTCTCACTAAAGAAAACCTCCGTCTCCCTCCTACTTAGGAAGAGTAACACACAGCCACCCTCCCTGGGGAATGGCCAGGAATGCAAAATAACAAACGTTTGCTACCAAGACGGTGTGTCTTATGCAAAAACTTACAACCTCCTGCTCTGACCTTTCCTTTGTTATCCTTATCTTTTAAAGAACAGTATCTAAAGCTTTTGTTTGGGGAATAAAGCAAACAGGTTCCCCTTCCTTTCCCTCCATCCACAGCAATGCAGGAGCACCCTGTTCCTCCTTGCAGCCTATGGACAGGCGTTATTTTGCTGATGGGGTGAAATAGTGTTTGGGATGAAAGTTAGCATCATTCCTGAAGTCACCAGATGTGTCAGAACCCCTGTCCCCCAGGGGATTGTCTGACCTTTATCAAGACAGACGCAGCTTGTAAGCAAACCAGACTGACCCGGGAGTCCTCGCTGTGCATGAGCTACCCACAGACACTCCCCATCTTCCTCTCCCTCCTTGCAGGCCCGAGGCCCGTGTCTGGACGGTGATGTTGCTGCTGGGGACGTGCCTGCTGTACTGCACCCGTGTCACCGTGCCCATCTGCGCCGTCGCCCTGAGCTCCTACTTCGACTGGGACAAGAAGCAGTCTGGAATAGTGCTCAGCAGCTTCTTCTGGGGCTACTGCTTGACACAGATTATCGGGGGACACATCAGTGACCAGTACTGGAAATCATTCTCATCTTTGCCTCTGCTCGGGCTTTATTTCATCACACTTAGCTTGGCTGTGACCAACCCCAGTTCCAGTCTTGGCAGTGGCTGTGCCAAGTTTCACCCTGGGACAGCGATGGGGTGGAAGGGTGAAGTGTTCCCATGGGGAGATGCTTTATGGGGCTCTGCAGGTTGCTCTGAAAGCAGTTGAGGTGTCTGCATCAGCCTCTCACAGGGTCTGTAGCTCTGATTCAGAGAGGATGTATAGGTTTTGGCTGTCCGATTAGATTCCTACATCTAGAAATTGCTGCTGTGCTTACAGGGCAGTATGCACTGGTGGACTTTGCATAGCCAAAATCCCCAGCAAACACAGGGGGTATCCACATAATCATTACTGCCTTGAGAGCTCCTACAGAGCAGCTGCCAGGAGAGATCTACACTCACATTAATGAACACTTTAGACCAATATAGGTTTTTTGTCACCTGGAAACAGTGAAGAGCACTTTTAGACCAGCGTAACTCTTCTGATGGAGGCTGTTTTTAGCACTGCTTCCATAACTGGAGTGAAAAAAAGCAAACCCACAGGCTTACATGAAAGAAATAGTGGGTGTGAAGCAGGATTTATTTTAGAGAAGTGATAAATGCTGATGCTTTTCACATAGCTCATGGCTGCTGCTCACCGGGAGTGGTATTTGTCCATTAACAACCAGTTTGATCCCAGCAGTGCTGGACAGGAAGGGTTTATAGCTGCAACCACAAGAAGCAAACGTTTCCTTTTGCAAGCACAACAGCTTTGATTCGATCTGCACAGCGTGGCTTCATTTTCAGCTCAGCACCTCCAGTTTTTCCACCCTATATTCTCAAGCACAAGCAAACCCCCATCACAGTTTCCATCATGTTTGGGGAAAACAAGTGTCTCCATTTCATCATATCAACTAAAAAACAAATTCCCCAGGTAACTGTAAGGAAAGATCTGAGTAACCACCTGCTTGGGTTCCTTTCCCCAGCCACCCCATTCTTAGAGAGGAGAGCTTTCCCATGGAACCCTTTGTGAGGAACACGTGCCTGGAAGAGGTACACTATCCATGCAGTGCACTATGCTATTTCATTGTGTTCCTCAATAGTTTGCAAGCAAAAACCCACATGTGAACAGGCAGAGCTGGTGGAAAGGAGCAGATGGAAGAGACAACGCTGTGCCTGGATAAGAAAAGCAGGATGGTGACAGCAGCTTGGGCTTCCCCTCCAGCAGAGGCTTGAGCACATCGGTGCAGTGATGTCTCTGGGGTTGGTGTGTGCTGGAGCTGGATGGGAAGTCCTGGTGGGAGCAATCCCAGCTCGCTGCCTGCTCCAGGGGAGCCCGAGGTGGGAAGGGACAGGAGGTCAGAGCTACGCCCCAGAGGGCGAAAGACATTTGAGAGAGAAGAACAGGTTTGACTGAAAGGTGGCTCTTAAAAACAGGCTGAACTGGGAAGAGCCCCTGAGTCTTGACGGGGGGACTTTGCCCTTTCACCCTCCCCTGGGTTTTGACAACGTGGTTTCTGTGTTCCAGCATAGGAGGTGAGAAAGTCCTTCTCCTGTCAGCATCGGCCTGGGGGTTCCTCACGCTGCTCACCCCGCTGCTCGCCCACATCACTTCTGCACATCTCGCTTTCATGACCTCCTCCAGGTTCCTCATGGGGTTGCTGCAAGGTGAGACCTGTGTCCTGAGCGTGTGTTTGTCTGCCCATTGGCTTCCTTGCGTGGGGGCTCGTGTGCAGTGAATCTGGATGCAAGCCGCGTGGTTTGCAGTGCATGGACCCTTCTCCTGCGTGTTTGAGCCATCCTCTGCCTCAAAACTGCCTCCACATCCAGAGCTTCCATGGGGGAAGAAGGTGACCCTTCTAGAGAAAGCCACTGATAACCATTCCCCCGCAGAAATATTTGTGCCAGGCAAAGGCTGCTGTTTCTGAAACCATCCCTGTTCCTGTTTGGTTTTCCACATCTTAAAACCCCTTCGAAGCACTTGGCTAAAATCGGTCCTTGCTAAAACCTTTAGATCATTTGGGATGATTTTCCTTCCCTCTTGACGAGCTGCAGCACTTGGGAACTGTTGGGATAAGTGCATTGGCACTGATGGATTTACAGTAGCAGAGGTAATGATGAAACAAGGGATTATGAAGAAGGCACAAACAAACCTTCCACGGTTATGGATTCGCTTATATTGTTCTATATCCCTGTTTTGAATTCACCAAAGGTTTCGGTGCTTTGTCTTGGTGTTTAGCTCCTGCTGGATCCTTTACATTTGCTTTTGGTTTGCTCTCGAGGGCACAGGAGCCTGACTGCTCCCTGCCTTGTTCCCATTGCTCACAGGGGTGTATTTCCCATCTCTGACCAGCCTGTTATCCCAGAGGGTCCATGAGAGCGAGCGAGCCTTCACCTACAGCACAGTGGGGACCGGCTCACAGTTTGGGTAAGTTGAGCAGGTCTGAGCAGTGAGTGGCAGTCTCCAGACATCCTACGTGATGAAATGCCACTAAAGAGTTGGAGGCAAAACTCACAGCCCAAACTGCATGTGGATTCCTGGGTCCTCGAGGACACCGGCTGCAGCTGAGGAAGCCTCAGGCAGTTGCTGTCATGCATGTCAAGGGTTTATGTATGGTTTTAACTTTCTTTTCAAGCCAGACTTTGAAGGGTGTTTGCAACATTTAAATTACTATGGGAAACAGACTGATTCAGGAGGAGGAGCAAGGGTTGGCCTGAAACCTCTGTCCTCTCTGATAGATGTGGATAATATAACTTCTCACGTTAATGTCCATGAGAAGATTCTTTCTAATGGAAGGTTTGCTTAAAAGCCAAATAGAGATATTACTGTGTTTAATCACTTAACTTTCCAGTGTTACACATTCTCTGAGATACTTTCTGCACACCAGCAACCCCATGTTCTTTCCCTGATGTGCATGTTCCAGTGCGGGGTGAGGTCCCTGCATGGTTTCTCCTGCCCAGGTGAGGATCTGGGCCAAGATGCCACACGGGGAGCAGGGCACGTTGTGATGGGGCTGGTGTTCAGCAGCTCCTTTAAGTGCACTTAGTGACATGTAGCATCCACCCCGGGGAGTATCTCCCACTGATGCCTCCAGTCCCAATGCTCTTTGCCAGACCTGTGATCCCAGGGTGGTTTTCCCTGCAGGACACTGGTGATCGGTGGTGCTGGTTCTCTCTTCCTGGATTGGTACGGCTGGGAGAGCGTTTTCTACTTCTCCGGTTTGCTCACTTTGCTCTGGGTTTACTGCACCTGCAAGTACCTCCTGAGTGAGAAAGGTAAATCCAGGCACCTCTATCCCTTGGCTGGCAGCTGTGGGACCCACGTGGTGCCTCTCCCTTGTTTTCTGCCAATCCTCTGTATTTCCAAGATTATTCCTGGTTTTACACAAAGACCTTGTATTCAGATGTCTTCTGTAATACACGCTGTGTCTCACCCAAGATGCTAAACCCAGAAATGAGGTTTTGAGCTCTGGCATTGCTGATTTCCTATTCCAAGTCCCACACTGGATTATAGTGCTGTCAAAAGCCTGATTTGACTCCTCAGTACTCTTAAGCACCAAACAGAGATCTTCAAAGTGGATTAAACTAAAGCAGAGCAAGATACTTATTCCAAACAAAGAACATCTACACACAGAGCTTTTAAAAACCAGTTAATCCTGAATGTATCTTCCCAGATAACTGTCTGGGAGTAATTCCACACATGGGGAAACCCTTACACCTGGCTACAGCGTTATTAGTACAGTGTGGTTTGGAGGAGCCCAGCTCATCAGGAGCCTGGTGTGTGCTTGATGCTGCACAAAATCCAGTCCTGGTCCGTGCCCAAGGGATTTTTCTTCTAACAGGAGATATAACAAATGGGTGGAGGTGGCTGGATGGGAAAAATATGTGGATACAGTGGAAAAAATTTGGTCAATATAAAGCGATCTTTCCATGAGCATTCAATAGTGGTATAGCCAAAAAACAAGGGGTAGAAGGAGATTAAAGGTAGCTGTAGAGCAATCTCCCAAGGCTCCCTCCAGCTGCACAGAAAATTACTGATCAAAGCTTCCCTTTGTATGTTTTCTTCCCTGCAGAACTCATCGTCCCCATGGACTATTTAATGAGAGGCCTCTCGATATCCAAGCAGACCAAAGTTCCCTGGAAGCAGCTGTTTCGGAAGGCACCGATATGGTAGGCAGCTGCGGTGGCCTCGAGCATCGGCAGGGCTGGGGAACAGCCTCCTTCCAAGGGCTTTTTCTCCCCTTTGTGCTTATTTCTTTTGCTTATGTGTATTTGGTCCACTTATTTGTGAAACACGACCAGCTTTTCTAACCCTTCTGTGTAAATAAAGAACTAAAAAGGTAAGCTTGACAAAAGGAGGTTTATATTCTGTCCAGAGGAATGTCAGGCTTGAATGTTACTGGCAAATCCTTCTCCTTCACAGGCTGTTCCCTGGATGTGTCGTGTGCTCCTCTGGAGTGATATTCTCCATCAGTCTGGTTAGAAATGCTGCTTGTAATGGGCTCCTAAGAAGTGCTGCTCAGGGGCACTGGGTGTTCTCATTGCTGGCAAAACGTCTTTTTAATAGCTGTTTTTTCTTTGGGATGGTGCATTCGGTACTGAAGCTCATCCAAGCATGTTCCCAAGTGCTGTATTAAGACAGGGAGGAGGGCGGTGGGGCTGCGGGGCAGCAAGCCCATTCCTGCCTTGAATAACCACGGAGCATCTGCTGATAACAAATCCCTAGAAAGCCCTGAACCCCTCTCGGAGCAGGACAGCTCTCACAGCACTGGGAAATGCACTCACACCACTGCTGCTGCAGTTAACCTTGCCTGATGGTGGGCACTGGGTGATGACGAGAAGGAGGAACGAGCAGTGCTGCGAGTGGCAAGCCAAAAGGAGTCATTGTCTATGGAAAAAGCAGGAAGCAATTGTAGCGCTCTGAGGGATTCCTTTATCAACCAGGAACTGAAACACTCTGCTCGAGTGCCTGTTTCCCAGCGTGACCTGTCACTCCTGATGATTTCCTCTCTGCTGTGTGTTTTCAGGGCTGTCATCATCGCTCAGCTCTCCACGGCCAGCACGTTTTTCACTCTCCTCTCTTGGCTGCCAACTTTCTTTAAGGAAACTTTCCCCGAGTCCAAAGTAAGTTGGCTCTAAGACATCGCAGGTTTCAGTGCGAATGAGGTTGTGCCGGATACCTGCTGAAATGGGGTGTTAGGGAGGGAGATGATGGCAGAGGGATGTGGGGAGATCAGGCTGGGAAGCAGGAGGAGGTGGGAGGTTTCTCTGCGGGGTTAGGAGTCATTACTCTCCTGCACATACATTTGGAGGTGCATCTTCCAGGTAGGCAGAGGCTGGTTTCTGGTTGCTTCTTTAGGGATGCTGAAGTGAGGTGGAGCTGGAGCACTTTCCATGCAGGGAAGAGAGGGTTATATTCATTTTTTAGACTGCTTTTCTTCGGAGGTTTTCAAATGGCACAGAGCTCATGACATTATGCAGTTACAAATACCCACCGTTCACATCTGAGTTTTTAACTGTGCTGCCATTGTGCAGCTCAGACCTGCCTGAGAAAATCATAATTACCTTTAATAACGTGTACTTCAAAAATACTGTAGCAGTTTCCCTCTCCTCAGCGCTAATGATGTTCCCATTTTCCAGAAGCCTGGGCTGAGAGCTGGAATTTAGATCTTGTTCTCAGAAACTCAGACACTCTTTACACAATGGCTCTGTTAGGTTTTTATAATTTCCAGAGCTGCTTACAAGCGCCTTTTCGTATTACATGTGTAAGGTGCTTTCTGGCAGACTTGATATTCATATTAAAATCATGTATTAAACCAAGCAAACATATTGTAGTGACAAGATCTGTGCACCTCGAGTAATGTGCTTGTGCAGCAGTAATTTACCATCTGTTCAGCATTATATCACGGTGCCTTTATGTAAGATGCTCTATGAGCGTTCCCGCAGCTGGTAATTGCTTCGTATGTTTTAATAGAACAGGGCTTGAGGATGCTCGGTTTTAAAGGATGGATGATAATCCTTAATGTGGGAAACCTGTGTCACCTACTGGTCAAAGTCCCTTTCTGCAGGTGGGCTGCCTTCACCGCTGCTGGCAGCCCATTGGGGTGGAGGTGATGGAGGGTTTTGGCTCAAGGTGATGGGCTGTCAGGATGAGACAGTGGTTCAGGGTTGGGACTGACTCGCTGAGCAGCCCCAGCTGATGTTAACAGACAGCCCCACAGGCCCCATGGGGTAACCCTTCCAAAAGTGACCAAGACCCACAATTCCCATGGCACTGAAAGCTGGAGATGGTCTCTAGTGTGATGTCCAGGAACAGGATCAGTCCTCTTGCGCATCCTAAAGCCAGGCAAGGGAAGGAGGGATGCCCCCATGGGGTGACAAGCTCGGAGTGAAGTGGGATACACCGGGGGTGATGAAGCTCAGCCCAACCCACACTGCTTTCAGCTCCTTGTGGGATCTGGGCACCAAAACGTCTCTGAGCTGCTGTAATCCAGATGTCCGGTAATCATCTGTGATTACAACTGTAGCAAGCTCACTTAATTGCAAATAGGCCAAAGTATGTTGCTGCCCATAACGCTTCCTAATCCTGGCATTAGAAAATCCAGCTCTGTTCCCTCAGCTTCACAGGGATGCTGCTAATGAGGCTGAAGCTGATGGTGGAATTCTGCCAGCAGCTTTACTGATGACCCACAGGGCAGACTAAAATCTACACTTGCTTTGCAGGGCTCTGTGGCTCTGCCATGTCACCTTGCAGAGCAGTAAACTTTAATCCCTCTTTCCCAGAGCTTTCTGCCTCTGCAGGGTCACCAGGGCAAAAGAAAAAGCAAGAAACCTACAGATGCCACAGCCCTGTGATGCTCCTTCTGCCTCAGAGACTTTGGGTGTAGCTGGGAGCTTGCTGTGCAAAGGGGGTAGAGATCCTGCAAGAAGTCCTGATCGCTCCATTTGTTTTCCTTCTTACAGATATCACAGACTATCACATAAAATGCTTGCAAAGAAACTCAGCTCTGACAGCAAACCTCTCTTGACTTCTGCTCCCTTTCAGGGCTGGGTGTTTAATGTGGTTCCCTGGCTGGTTGCGATTCCAACGAGCTTGTTCAGTGGATTTCTGTCTGATCATTTAATCAGCAAAGGTAAGAGCTCTTTTGGCTTTTCCTCAGCTCCTACTTTATGCGATGTGGGAAGAGGACCTGGGTGGGAGGAGGTGGGCTTGTTGGTAGGGTGAAGACCCAGCAAATAGATACGAGGTTCTGATATGAAAGCAGAATAAATACTCCAGGGTCCAAATCCCATCTGTGTGTTTGGGGCTCCCTTTGATCTCAGTCGCAATATCCACCTGGAGATGAAATTTGGCCATCTGAAATCTGCTTACCCTGTGGTGTCCTGGCTGGAGAACAAGGAGACCTGGTGAGCTGTGCTTAACTCCAACTCTCCCTTTCTCTTCCAGGGTACAAAACCATCACCATTCGTAAGTTCATGCAGGTAAGAGAGCTGAAGCACAGGAGAGATGCCCGAGTTACCTGCTGGGCTGTGCTTACATGGCAGATTAGACCTCTGGGTTGGTGGTTATAGGTGGAAAAAGGGCAGGTTTGCGGATTGATTGGTGATCAGTACGTATGGGAAATGAAATAAGTGCAAAACCCTGACTGAGGAACAGAGCGTGGACCAGAGGTAATGTTGAGCGCAGAGATTTGTGAGTGCTCTGCAGAGGTTTTCTTTCACAGGCAGAAGCCAACCATACACTGTCACTCCAAATGACCCCTTAGACACTGAGGAAATAGCAACACAAGGATGAACAGAAATAGAAATGCTGGGTGAGAGCAGAGCGTATCCTCCCTGCTCCGCAGCATCCCATCCTTCCCGACAGACACAGAAAGGCAGGGATACAAAAGGCTCGAGAAACACCTGGTGCTTATGAGTTCTTGCCACTGTAGAAGGGAACAGTTTGTCCATGGAAGGACTCACTTTATTCCCTACAGAAAACGTGCTGTGGTGTTTGATTTTCCCTTTCTTCCAGGTCATTGGCTCCGGTGTCTCGAGCATTTTTGCTTTGTGCCTGGGCCAGACCTCCAGCTTCTGCAGAGCGATAGTGTTCGCCTCTGCCTCCGTTGGCCTCCAGACCTTTAACCACAGGTAACCAGCGACAGCAGCAGGAGCTGTGGCCCTTAGTTCTTATCCCACATTTGGCATTTCGGGGGCCTGGAGGAAGCTGCCTCCTTTGTGACTGTCAGAGCAAGAACTGGTGCTTGTCTGAGCATCCTGTGTTGGTCCCTGCAAGGCCAGTAGAGTTTAGGAGGTTGGAAGTGATGCAGCAAACCTCTAGTGTGGGGAAGGGCTGGGACCAGCAGGTATTAGGGAGATGAATCAGGAGGGGAATTGCACTTTTGGTCCTCTAAATGCTTTAAGTTGAATCTTTTTCCTCCTGGTACTCTCCGGTGCTGCTTCACTCTCAGCCTCTTTCCTCCTTTCCCCCACCAGTGCCATTTATTGCCTAGGACCCTTTCTTTTGTTTGACAGACTAAACTCTGGGTGAATGATGGAAAAGGAGTCGTGCTCCATTAAAACAACCATTTCCCTCTGTGTTTCTCACTAGTGGCATTTCAGTCAACGTACAGGATCTGGCCCCCTCGTGTGCTGGCTTGCTGTTCGGTAAGGATCCCCATGGGAGAGGCAGTGCATGCGGGGGGAACACGGTCAGCAGCAAGAAGGGTTGAGCTCTGTGCAATGTCTATTCCATATGTGCAGCCTCAGCTTCCTCCTGTGATATACTTGCTTTCCTTTACAGGTGTTGGGAATACAGGTGGAGCTCTCCTAGGTAAAGTACCTTCCCCAAGCTCAGCCCCTCCTGAGCAGTCCTACGCTTGCAGGCAAAGAGGATCTGGACCTGGAGCCTTTGCATTTCTTTCTCTTCTCTCCCAACCCAGGTGTCATTTGTGTGTACCTGGCTGGTTACCTGATTGAAACAACCGGCTCCTGGATCTCTGTTTTCAACCTGGTGGCTGCTGTCAACAGCATTGGCCTCTGTGCATTCCTCCTGTTCGGAGAGGCCCAGAGGGTGGACACAGACTCTGCATATATGGACCTCTAGAGATGAGTCCAAAGGGCAGGAGAGCGTCACGACCATGTGTCATTGTTGCACAAGTGCCAAAGAACATATTTTTTTTAGGTGTTTAACAGGAAAAAATATATTGGGACCAAATACATTGTGGATCTGGATGGAACCCGTGGGAGAAAAGAAAGTTAGAGTTTTCCTTTTTGCTCAGGGCATAGCTGATGGCCTGCAGAGCCATCCAGCTCAACATCTCCAATGAGGATACAGCCAGCGTGACCAGTTTGTCCCAGTCGGTGTCTAGTGGACAAGTACCATGTGGCTGAAGCAGCTCACATGGTGTGTCTCCAAAGGCTGCTGTGGTTTGGGACTACAGGGAGGCGGATGGTGGCACGTGTCCTCTGAACTACATGAAAGGAATAATGCACATGGATGTACCTCTGACCTTACCCGTCCCTTGTGTGCCTTTGTTTTGCAGCCTGCTCAACAGGTACAAGCCAGGTTGAGGTGAATTCAAGGCTTCTCTTCAGGGGAAGTCTTCTGGCTGGATGTCTGCTGTGGAGCCAGGGGCCTGAGGTTGCATCGATGCTGAGCTGGGATGAGGCAAAGCAAATCTCTCACACCGGCTGAGCCCATCTTTGCTCAGGGGTTCCCATCTCTCCTGGTTGGCTTTAACTCCATCCCTGAACCAAGGCAGAGCAGCTCCAGTGTGAGAGCAGAGTTCAGCTGCAGTCACCTATGGTCAGGCATAGCTGGGCTGACCTTGTGGTGTAGTTGCAGGCAAGGAATCCCCTGGCATCAGAGGGAGATACGTGGCTGTACACGCCTCTGAGCCTGAATGTCTTAAGTTATTTATACATATTTTTAAATCTAAGTACCAAATTCTATATTTTATGGACTTGAGGCCTGACTCTGCTTATTTTGAGTGGTTTTCCCACCAAACCCCATAGTATCTCTAGAAGGGAAGGATTTACCAGCCTCTGGTTTCTGGTTTTGTAGGTTCTATTTTAAATGCGACATTTCATATTAAAGCAATTCCTTGCTTTCCCTCCCACCCCCTGCTTGCAGCCTGAAAGGATCGCTTTGATTGCTCCAGGAAACTTCAGCTGAGCCTTGGGACCTTGCTGGGCGGGAAAGCTTTAGGTTACCCCCTGCTTCTCCTTTTGTTTTGGCCAAATTTCCTCTTGGAGGGTATGTTGGAGCCATGTTAAGTTTCTGAATAACTGAGTTTATAGTGGAAATACTGACAGCCTTTTAATTGCAGAGCTACTAATGGGTGCCACTAAGCTAAGCTGGGTTACTTACCAGGGATGTTAAGAGACAAAGAAGTGACTAACTGATGTCTTTGCAATAGAATATGGGATCCCTGTGACCTGGCTGGGGGCTGGATTAGTAAGAAAGCGGATTTTTTCCTCCTCCTGTGTTTTTTCTCTCTAAAAGACTGGTTGCTACAACCCTGTATCGGAGGTGCTGCAGAACCAGGACACACAAATGCTGCTGGGAAGCCTCTTAAAATCAGTGGGTAAAATGGGGAGGGCACCCAGAGCAAATGCAAGCCAGGCTTGCCAAAGAGGCCCGAGGCTGTGCAGACACCTCTGCCAGCCTTGTCCCTCATCCAGCCTGAGCAGATTGTTTGCGTGGCCTTTCTGTAGGGACATAGGAGAAATCCAGATGTGGGTTTCTCTTTCATCATCTTCCCTGGACGTTCACTGCTGTACGTCAGGAGCACGAGGAGGGGATTCTGGTTCTCTCTGCTGGTTGCACCATCCCTTGGGGAAGAGCTGATGAGTTCAAATCACTCGCATTCAAAGCAGGCAGCTCGGTCACCCCTTGGCTCTGCAAGCTGGGATGTTTGGAACTCACCTTCAAAGAAAAGTCAGTGTTGCTGCTGTGCCTTCTCTGTAAACCCAGCTGACGCTTTGATGGGCAGTCCAGATCATCTCTCTCTGTAAACTGGTTAATAAGTTAAATATTTGAAGTACATTTGAGGTTTCGTTATGTTCGTACCTCTTTGGAGAAGTACTGAATCCATTTTACATGGCCGTGCTATCGTTTGTTTAAGCAGCCTTGCCAAAGCTTGCTGCCTGAGAGGTTTTGTTACAGAAGACCTGGCAAAATAAAGACATCGAATCGTTTTCACACTGCTTGACTTTCCTCTCAGTGCAGAGGTGCTAATCTGTGTGATCAGCCAGGGCCAGACACAGCTCAAGTGCTTTTAATGTGATTAACTCCTCAGGGCTGGTGTGAGAGGATGGGGAGGCTCTGCTGGGAGAGTATCAGGCTGGCAGATTGTCACAGCATCCTTGTGTGTGTTTGTACCTTGGGCCTCAGAGCACGTCCATCTACATCTTGCTGTTCAGCAGCGCTGTGGTCAGTCCAGCGTCTGGAGGCTTGCTCCAATATCAGCTATTTGAGTAGCAGCACAAGTGGAGCAAGGCTTCGGTCAGGTAGATAATACCCCCGCAGGCAGATCGCCTCCACCTGGAGACTGTGCTGATAAAACCAGATCGATCACTTCTTTGCATCCTCGCTGATAGGTTCGAACTGATGCCAACAGAGGGAGCTGTTAGATTTGGGATGTGGCAGCTCCCGGCTGGTGAGAGCTGCCGAGCCTGGCCCCGGCACAGCTGGCACAGCTGGCACGGACAGTACGGATGGTTCGCCTGGCACAGCTGGCACAGCTGGGCAGTGATCAGAGCCCTGCCTGGTGGCTGTCACCGATGGAGTGAGTCCCAGGACCTGCTGCCCCAGCATTCGCCTTCCCTCATCGTTTGGCAGTTGTACAGTTAGTGTGGAGGGAGCAAGAGTTTGGGAATACATGTTAAAAAGAGAAATAGCCACTAAAGGAATTCTAAGCCGCGTCTGCAGGGTCATGGGACCAAGAAAATGTCTTTAAGGGCTGCAGAGTTCACTCAGTGTCTCATCAATGCGCTCAGAAAAAAGCAACATGAAACTCTCCCCATCTTTTCCTGTCCCTTTGCTCCTCTTACCAAGGAATAGGCAGTCTCTGACATACACACTTGAGCTGTTTTGGCCTGGAAAGCTCTAAGAAGCCACAGACCCACCTTAAACCTGCCCTGTTCTTTATGGGATCTTGCAACTGTGTAAAGCCTCAGACAGAAGAATAAGCTCTGCCACATTCCTTGAACTATCCAGGTCACAGGACTACTCTGCCCGCCAGGCTGGATCCCAGCTTTCCAGCCTGCCTTGAGCAAGCAGGGACATGTACAGTGCAAAAGGGACTGGGAATCTGGGACAGGGCTTAAAGGCTGATTAATCCCAGTTATGTTGTATTGGTGCTGTGGGTTGGGATTGATGGATCGGTTTGTATTTAAATAGTTTGGGGCATATTCAATAGCTGGCATTGGAAGGATTCTGTTTTATTGCACTTTGCATAACACAAAATCAATAAACACATTCAAGCAGATGGAAAGCAAAACACGGGAGAAAAATAGCACAATTTGGAGGAGGAAAGAAATAGCAAAGAGCACTTCTCGCTGGTACTTTCGCCTTGAAAACACAAGCAGATGCTCTCCCTGCAGAGACCTGATCTAACATCCACCTGCCAGCTCCCTGGGGCTGGGCCATGCCCCAAAGACACCACTGCTCTGCAAAGGGCACCCAGCACCGTAACAAGCAGAATATCACCATTTATTGCAGCTGTGACCTACTGCATGGCACATAATGAGGAATTTTCCATTTCAAACTTTAATGCAATAATTAAGATGTCCATTAAGGTCTTTACAGTTTGAGTGCTTGTAATTAGAAATGGGGGTGATGGGGTTGTGTGTATATGTGTGATGACAGACATGCAGCCCAGGGCATCAAGCCCATGCCAGCAGCTTTAACTGCTCTTCCCTTTTTAATTCCCTGTTTTCTTTCTTCAAACTGATTTTCCTGGTTTTGTTTCTAATTGTCCTCAGTCCAGGTGGCCTGAAAACATGTGAAAACCAGTCTTAGTTCCATAACCACAACTTGGTTTTTAAAGAGAGCTTGTCCTCTCTACCTCCAAAATACAGGTGCTCCCAGGCTGTGGGTTTTGGGGCTGTCTCTGAGCAGGGAGCCCCTTGGGGCTCTCAGGCATCACTTTAGGCCAGGCTGTCCTATCTGGTTGCCCTTCAGCAGTGCCAGGGACATGGTGTGTGCCAGGACAGCCAAGCTCCATCAGCAGAGTCACAGGAATAACAGAAACAGAGCGTGATCATCAGCCATAGTTTATGCTGCAGGTGGTCTCCAGACTCCTTTAGCTCCCAGCACACACAGTTCCTGGTGCACGATTAAGGGTGAGGTAGGTTTTAAGCCAATAATGGAAAGAGAAGAAACCCCCTATATAAACCATATAAACCCACGTCTTCCAAAGTCTCTCTTATCCTGGGGTGCCAAAGTCCCATTACCCAGTAATAGGATTTGGCGTCCTAAAGCAGTACGGAAATACTGGTAAAATTTTGCTCCCAAATCACCAGATTTTTGCAAAGGATTAACAAAAATTAGTGATTTGACTGAGGAAGTGGCTGCCAGAAAAGCTTCAGCTGATCCCTTGAATCCCTTCCCAAATTGCTTTCCCCTGCTCTGTGCAACTACTAATTTACTAGTGACTTACTCTTGTTCCTGCGAACACAGTGCTGGGTGCGATGTCCTGGTGCTTTGGCATTAAATATTCTCTAATAAATTGTTTTTCATTTCAGCTCCAATAAAACCCCACTTCCATGGGAGACAATGGAAAGGTACATGTGTAATAATCCCGGGTAGGACTTTGCACAAAGAAATTAGCAACCTACTCGCGCACGTCCTGCAGCCTCATTAAACACAAACCGTTCGTGGTTGACAGGGGATTTTCTTGTGCAACCATTTAGGCTCATTGCAGCTGTTAAGTTCCTTTCATGTTGGGTTTTTTTCCTCCTTCCTACCAAGTCTCAGACAAACCCACTCTTTTACAATCTCTCCTGTGTACCTGAGTTACAAGCGAAGTGGATGCTTTCATGAGATTCATCCTTGTCCCTTCAGATGCCTGGAGCTGGTGTGAATCTCAGCTGATCATG